CAGCGCTGGAAAAAGGTAAGTTTTTAACCCTTTCCCCCTTCCAGAGCCGGGCGGGAGGGGGTCCCTGAGGGTGGGGGCACCCTCAGGGCACTATAGTACCAGGAAAACGAGTATGTTTTCCTGGCACTATAGTGGTCCTTTAAGTATAGATCAATGGGATTAAAAAAGAAGTATACAAGTAAGAAATAAGCAGAGACTTCATACCTCATTAGTATTATTTACCTGCTCTAAATTCATTTTCTTTTCATTAGGATTGCTCGGTACAGTATATGTTTGTTTGTTTGTTTTTTTTTGTTTGATACTGAACAGTAGACAGCGATTCAAGGGTATTTTTTTTCTTTTTTTCCCCCTCCTTTTATTGGGGCTGATTAAGTCTGCTATGTAGCACATAGTTACATAGTTACATAGCTGAAAAGAGACTTGCGTCCATCAAGTTCAGCCTTCCTCACATTTGTTTTTGCTGTTGATTCAAAAGAAGGCAAAAAACCCAGTCTGAAGCGCTTCCAATTTTGCAACAAAACTAGGAAAAAATTCCTTCTTGACCAGAAAATAGCAGTCAGATGTCTCCTTGGATCAAGCAGCTATTACCCCACTAATTAGAAATAATATCCCTTTATGTTTTGTTTTTTGCAAATATTTATCCAATTGCAGTTTAAACATCTGTATAGACTCTGACAAAACCACCTTTTCAGGCAGAGAATTACACATCCTATTACTCTTACTGTAAAAAAAACAACCTTTTCTTTGCCTTAGATGAAATCTCCTTTCTTCCAGCCTAAATGTGTAACCTCGTGACCTATGTATAGCCCTGTTTATGAATAGATTTCCAGATAATGGTTTGTACTGGCCCAGAATATATTTGTATTATGTTATCATATCCCCTTTCAGGCGCCACATGATATATTGTAGAGATAAGCAATTCTTCTTCCTCTCCACAATGTCCCATATGATTCCCTAAAATAAATCATAATAATGAAAATTCCCACAAACTAATAACATTTAGATACCATGATAGGAAGGAAAAGAGGGGGAGAGGAGAGGAGAAGGGGAGGGAGAGGGGAAAGGGAAAAGGGAAAAGAGAAGAAAAAGAAAGGGGAAGAAAACATATTTAATATAAAATGGAAGCTGGATGGGATTTGGAGAGGTTTAAGTAGAAAAGCAATAATAACTTAATATACTGGAGAGTAATTACTGTAACATGTTTGTGCAATTATTTTTTATATATCACTGTCCAGTTTTATACTGTTTTTGTACTGTATGTATAATTTGTATAATAATAAAAAAATAATTAAAATAGGTGGAAAAAAGGTTTTGAATAGAAGGGAGGGAAAAAAGTGGTTGGAAAAAAGCAAGAGATTATTAAGAGGAAGTGGAAATGTGTAGGAGAAGCTGAGAGGGGACACATAACACAGGTGACAGAGAGATGATTATATTATAATTATATAATTATGGTCTTGGTTTATTATTGTTGGTTAAGCTTTACAAATAATTTAATATTTTGTAATAAACGTTTTAAAAATATTTTTTTAAATATATCAGATCAGATACACAGAATGACACGCATACAGATATAAACTGTGACACAGGCACACATGCAAACAAAGAGATACACATACAGACACACATGCACACACACATAGATTCAGACATTCACACACACACACACACAGATACAGACATTCACACGCACATACAGACACACAGATACAGACATCCACATACACACACATTTACAGACATTCACACACACACATTCACATACACAAACTGTTAAAACTTTTAGTCTCCCTCCTGCTTTCTACCTCTAGGTGCAGGAGGGTGACTTCCCTGGGGTCCAGTGGCTGCCTTCGGCTGATGGGAGTCAGAGCTCCAATTCTGACTCCCTCCTCTCTGGTGCTTTCCACCCACGCAGAGCTCTTAACTGGAAGGAAGTCACAGCTTCCTCCCAGCGGGAGCTGTGACGTCATCACTGGGGCCTTGTAGCGCTCTTAAAGCGCCCCAGCGCTGACCGGGCCCCATGTAATTCATTGTCATCGGGTGGCCCCAAGAGCATGGGTCACCCAATGGGCCCCTTCAATGCTGCCTCTGTGGTTGTTCCGTGCGGCCAGGGCCGCACCACAATGCCGGCAGGCACCCAAGTACTTCTGCCACTGATGTTAAGGTTTTCACAGACTGGACTCATTTATGTATAATACAGAAAACTGTTATAGTCAGCTAATTCACCATAAAATATTGTTATTAAACTATTACATTTGTATATAATCTCACAAATTAGAAAAAGCATGCCCAGATCTTTATATTGAGGTGATATATTTTGCAAAATGTCTTGGTTGCACTTGGTAGCAAATTGTAAAATGCTATTTTATTTTTAACAAAGATTAATAATACATTCCTGGAAAGAACTTGCTATAACACCCTATCAGTCATTATAGTACAGTATATCTCTGTATGTAGATAAAGTCATAGTTTGTAGTCATTAAACCTTATGGCTCTGGATGTATCACTGCCTGCTGTTTACATTCAGTTGTTGATATAATAG